TACACTGGTAGAGTCAATGTACACAACAATTCATTGCATCAGATAATAGGCCAATAATCGATTTCCTGGTCACTGTGAGATTCTGCCTTACATGTATGTGTGAAATCAAACATAAAATCAGGAAATACAAACGTCATGGGATTTAACACAACATTTTTCAGGGCTTATTTTCACGCTCAGTAATAAAGTAATTTCATCTGCAATGTTCCTATCTGAAAGATTTCATTTCTACATTAAACAATAAAAAAAAAAGAGAAAATTAAATAATTTGATTTTTGCGACAAACATTTGATTTATATTTTTCATACACAACGTAACATCTTGGCAGTAAATGAGAAAAACACCTACCGGTATTATTTCTCATGAAGCAAGCTTAGCAGTATTTTTTTCCAGATTATTCTGCAGCAAACAATTTGGCAGTAGTACTAGTGAATAGTTTTTCAACCACTGAAATTGACTGAAGTATCACTGCTTGTAAAGACTTTTGTACACCAATCAAATCATGGCTCATACTGTACAAGAGCATTACAGCAAGTCTCGGAAGTATTGGGGCAGCCAATTTGCAAACTCGCTAGCGAATTGGCTAACTGCTTGGGTTTTGACTAAACGATTGGCTTTCGCATCTCGCTGGCACCGACTTGTGATTGCGTCCACTCTGGGCGAGTCTATATTGCATTAGGGGACATACAATGCTTTTTACGCAGCCTAGTACATGTCTGGATTCCCCAGAGTGATTTGAGGTTTGAGCTTGGAAATAACCACAGTCAGCTGGCGTACAAGTGATAATATGATAAATGCGATAGTCAAGTTGAAAAACATTTTCCTACAAATCAGGGAGAAAATAACAAACTTTCACATACAAAAGATCCGTTGGGGTAAAATTAAGCCGACCACTAAAAAACTCATTTGTCTTTTTTACGTGTATACAAAGAAAATAGAACACTTTCCCTGGTATATTTGAAAGTGAAATCGCCATCCAACTGTATTACCGTCGCTGATTAGCTCCTCAAGTATGAAGATCGTCCCTACTGTTATATAGATATGACGTAGATGGGCGTGATCACAAGACGGCGCCAGTGAGATTCGAAAGCCAACTGTTTAGTCAAAACCCAAGCAGGTAACCAATTCACTAGCGAGTTTGCAAATTTGCTGCCCCAATACTTCTGAGACTTGCTGTAAATAGTATTCTGTAAGATATTTTATCCTGATCCTATGAAAAGTTGGTTATATAGAATGGAATATAGAATTTTGTCTTCATTTGATTACAATTCTACAGTATCATAAGTATTAATTGAATCATATAAATTAAAATATACCATAAAAAGGAATGTCCAGCATGTTAAAATGTTTGTAATTACCATATAGGACAAAGAACATTTTTCTATCACTGGTCACGGAGAATATTTATTTTATTTATATATTTCTGACTTCTCAACCATGGATATTGAGCAGAAACGCTCAAGTAAATATAACAGAAAGAACCAGCAATTAAAGAATTTACTTAATAGTTTAAATAAATTGTATACAAATAACAAGGAAATGCTGTTGGATTTTAAGATTTTTGTTATTGACAGCTTAACAAACAATACACCATTTTTGTAAACATAACTTTGCAGTTCTGAGGTTACTATTTAAAATATTATTATTTTTGCGAAACAGATGATAACTCTGCAATACATGTACCTTCTTTAGAATGTAAAATGTGATGCAATCATTTGCTAAATCATGCAAGATCTTTTAAAGTGCTGGAAATGATATATTGGCAAGAAATAATCAGTTTACTTAACAAAGTATTGAAAATTAGATAACTGTTATGCAGCATTATTTGTATTTTCCGCTATTACTAATTGTCAGCATCCATAGCATTCCTGTTATATATACATTTATAGGGGTTGAATTAAGCTTTAAGTATGGCAGAGTTTAGTATCATTCCCGAAAGAATTTTATGTTTAAAATAATTTGATTTGTTTTCAGATTAAATCTCTCATTTAAAAATGTCTACTGTAAAATACTTCATTTTAAGGGATTATTCAGTCAAAATAAAATCCAGCGAATGAAATCCTGTTTTTACATTCAAGTCATCAAAAATCTGTGCAAATACGGTAAACTCCAAAAGCACACTTCATTGAAAATTCCAGCTAAAATAAAGTATTTTACAGTACATGTTATGAAATGAAAATCAACATCTGTTTTCAAACTCACGAAAATTAGTGATCCATTCATTTCCCTTATAAAGTCAATATATATATATAATGTACATAAAATATTTTTTAAACTTTAATTCATTGCACTGAATCAGTAAATATCTGAAAAATAGAATATATTTTTTTAGCCGTATCATTTAGTTTATAATTGTGAGTGTCTTTTCAAATTCACGCTTATTCTCAGCATCAGAGTTCAGTCTTGGCATAATTTCTCCTTCCTTTGTGCATCCTTGCATCAAATATTTCCTCATCGTCTTCATCGTCATCATCATCATTTGCTTCACCATTGGCAACCAACATCTGGATTGCCTCACCATTCTCTGAATCTTCTTTCAGGTAATCTTTTCCTGAGTGGCTCTTTCCTTGTTCTGTTTTGGTGAAAACAAACATAATTTATAGATAACTACCGAGCATCACATCGATGGTCACTTGGTAACAATTTACAAAGAATTGCCTAGATACATATTGATAATGTTGAATTATGGGTGTTGTATGCAAATAATGTGTCACGTGATGTAAATCGAACTGTAAACATGCAAGAAACAATTAGACGAATATTCAGTTTATCTTTAATAACATTATCTTGAAATTAGATGATAATTACAAATCAACCGAATAAATAACTTTAATATGAAAATACTACAGATATCCTTGTCACTCATGTATACCTCAGGTATATGTACTTGAATAGGTCAATGACATTACCACTTTTTAAGATGGTGGTTTAATAATCAAAGAATGATGTTGGCACATTGAAGTTAAAAGGCATGCTTTACTAAGTTCTGTGAAGACGAGGAGTGCTGTGATGGATGGTTGGGTGGACATATGGTAGGTATGATATTACCGGTATATAGATCAATTCCTTTTAGTGACATGTGACTGTATGGTAGGACCCATCTTTTTTCAGGGGCATGTGACCTTCTCTTTTAGGTCACTATTAGATTTACTTTTGAGGTCTTACAGATTCTGTTGGATTTGACACAACCAGACAAAACACCCAGAAGGAGGCATTCTTTTTACAGTCTGCCTAAAAATACATATCAAGAAAAATACACTTACTTTTGGAGCGGGCTGCCTTGAGGATGACATGGAGTGTGATTCCACTTAGACAGATAACCATACCGACTGCATTGATAGGTGTGAGTATATCACCAACGTACTGGGTTGCTATGTACAGAGTGCAAATCTCCTGTATACAAACAACAATAATGTTTTCGTGGTGAGTATGTAACCAATTACAGCTGACAGTTTTTTTTTAAGAAGAAGTGGCCAGCAACAGTGATGGATAATCAGCATAAACAGGTTTCGATCAAATTTAATACATACATTGGACAGATCAGATTCAAAATGGCCAACTGGCTGTTTTAGAGAAAGCTGTTCCGGGGACATATTAGACTTCCCTCCCCAATCATGTTAACACTTCACAAGTACGTCACACATCAAGTTACACATATGCAAATGCATTTGTTTTGTAAAAATGAACAATATACAGCATTTACTGGTACCTTAAATATTCCTGCTATAGATAAAGTTAGACTGGATGTCTGTCCTAAAAGTAAATACTCAGACACTCCCAGCATGAATGCTAAGCAAGCACCAAGGGATAATATTGATATAGAGTATATAAATGCATTCTGGTCTGTGTAGCCTAAAAACTGTTCTGTTGACACCACAGGAAGACCTGAAATCAACATACAGTCAATGTGTTACTTTTTAAATTCCACATCCCCAATAGATAACTTACAAGAAAAATTTACAAATTTATCAACTGTCATTGGATGAAGAGAGGAAAAAAAGTACATTTGAAACAAACGAATGCGGCTCTTAAACAAACTTTTAACACAGAATTTCTAAACTTTGGCTAAATTATTCCCTGTAAATAGCATTTGAAAGCCCCAGGAAAAAAATTGGAGTACCCAACTTAGTTTCTGAATTATGAAACTTAATTGTACATTCAGCGCTAACGCTATGGGGAAATCACAGATTTATTGTTTCCATGGAAATGTCATGAAAATTTACCTGAATTTATCATCAATTTGTATTGCACTTTATTTTTTTATATTTTTAACAGCTAGCTGTGTCTATCTTTAAAAGTTGCATTCTGGGATAAATCATAAAACTGTGTTAATGAGACATTAAATATTCAATGGTCAGTATTACTACAAGCCACAGTAATGCAAATGAACCATTGGGAATACAAATATTCAAATTTAAACAATCAAGAGATGACAAACCATATATGTTTATAAAAATATGTTTTCAATGTCATCAATAATGCACTCATTGAATGTCTATATCAGCAATGGTGCTTCAGATATGTAATTTATGCATTTTTAATGAGGTCACAAGACCATATATGGTCATTAAATATGCTGATTAGATCTAGTGAAAATGGATTCAATAAAGCACTAGTTGAATATTAAGGTTGAATAGTGCTCCACATATGATATTTATGCATTTTTAATGAGGTCACAAGACCATATATGGTCATTAAATAATGTTGATCAGATCTAGCGTGCAATGGATTCAATAGAGCACTAGTTAAATGTTAAAGTTGAATAGTGCTCCACATATGATATTTATGCATTTTTAATGAGGTCACAAGACCATATATGGTCATTAAATATGTTGATCAGATCTAGCGTGCAATGGATTCAATAGAGCACTACTAAGTTGAATGTTAAGGTTGAATAGTGCTCCACATATGATATTTATGAATTTTTAATGAGGTCACAAGACCATATGTGGTCATTAAATATGTTGATCAGATCTAGCGAGCAATGAATTCAATAGAGCACTACTAAGTTGAATGTTAAGGTTGAATAGTGCTCCACATATGATATTCATGCATTTTTACTGAGGTCACAAGACCATATATGGTCATTAAACAAGTTGATCCGATCTAGCATGTAATGTCTCTATCTGCAACAGATATGATGGCCACTAGTAACTATGCTACTGGTATATATCCTCCCACCAGCACTTTAGTATGGACGTTAGTGCTGGCAGAGATAACAACAAAATTATATTTATTTCAGACCACAAAATTCCAAGCAGTGTAAACAAACACCTATTTTCATGTTTTAAAATTTTAATAAACAATGTAAAGTATTTCACCATCGTGTCTCACCACACTTTCCTTGGTGTGTGAATTTTGCATAGACTTTCACAGCATACGATAAATGCAATATTTGGTTATGTGCTTCTAGTAGAAGCGAATAGTTTGTGTTTTCCGCAATTCACATGAATTAAAAAATTTCACATACCGTACTTGTTTTACTTAGTGCCATGCTCGACTAAGCACTCATCCCCCACTCTTATAATAATAGTAATAATCCTATGACCCCAGTGAAAATTCAGGAATGATTTTTAGAGTGAATATAACATCAAAGTTGATAAAACATCTATTTTCAAGGCAAAAATTGATAAAACTGTTTTAGCATAGGAATAGAACTGTAAAATCGAAAAAAAAAAACGATGTGAAGTCTTTAATAACATTAACATATCATATAATTACCTAAATCACTGTCTTACAATAATTGATATCAATGAAACAAATCTTCTACAAAAAAACCCACATAAGATTTGCAGTTGTATTTGAATATCTAAATATAAATTAACTAAATGAAATTTTAAAACTTTCTATAAAATGCACGATTGTTATTACTGGATTCTTATTCCTGTTACAACACACGCAAAAAAGATTCATACAGGGAGTTAGCAAACTTCCTAGGAAAGTCCTTTGCTATATTGTTATGTTCATATCAAATAACCTAATGTTATAAAAATGATTTGCTGCATTTTGTGACAATGAATTTGAACTAATTAATTTTTGACCAGGTACATACTATGACTAAGTTGACTGTTGACTGTACAAGGAAGGTTTCTGTACAAATGTGGTTTCTTATGTGGTTATTGGAACATTGATAGGGATCTTTCCATGGAAGTTACACGTTACCCATATGAATCTTGTTTGCGCCTGCTGTAATGACATCATCAATTTTACTAACAATCAAAACAAGCCTGGTTTTGTATAAATACCTTCAAATGCAATTGCCAATGGAATCAGTCCTACAATCATAATAGGTTGTAAATGATATACTAGATCAACAGGATTGGACAAACCTAGAAAATAAATATAACATCATTAATTATAATTCCATAAAAGATACGAAAACAATAAAGAAATGGCGTCCAATTATCAAGGCAGCAAGAGACAACAAAGATAAATATCTTTTAAAACTTGTTTGAATATTTTGGATGCAAAATGAATAAAAAATAAACAATTTTTTAAAAAATTCTTCTACTTCAATCATTGATAGAATGTCCACCATGTGGCCTTTTATAAGAAAAAGTGTTCTGTCTTATAATTTCAGCATTTGATTAAATTATCAATATAAAGCTATGTAATTCATGTCCTATAACAAAAAGGAAATATGTATAACCAGAATTTATTTGCGTCATTCTATTTCAAGTTGTTCATTGACATAGAAAAACAATAAAGATGAAAATTAAAATGCATGTCCTTTGAATATTTTGTGTGACTAATATTTTTTGAACTTTGAACTTGAAATGCCATTATTTGACATTAAAACCTATAGAAACCATCTCTACATAATATTAGTAAAATGTAGAAGAGTAATTCCTACCTATTTCTTCTTTTTGTGTTAACAGCTGAGCCATTGACCACCGAATACCGCTAAGACTTGATGCAGTCATGACTAGTATAAAACCCTCTAGATTGAATTGTGTTGATTTATAAGTGAATAAAAACAGTCCCACAGCTATCAGCAATATAACGGCTATGAGAGACACCCTCTACGTAAAAAACAAAACAAAAAAAAAGATAGACAAATGAGTCACCTTTCATTGTGATTTCAAGAAAATGAAAAATTCACGATGATGATAATAACAATGGCGAATAGAACACTACCAATGATGGTAATGCCAGAACAACGCATACATGGTGATGTATGTACAAAATAACAACATATTAACATAGCGATATAGCGATATATACAAAATATACTTACAAACTCTTCCAGTTTAAATATTATTGCAAATACAAGAATAAAAATAATTGCTGATGATTTTGACATTGTATACAGAGAGACTGTTATAAAGAGAAAACTCCAGTTGGATAATCCAATGTCAAGTGAGCTGGCCAAGCCTGTAAACAAGCGAATGTGTAGCAATAGTTAGGTCAAGTTTATTCTGGAAGAGAATGGAACACTTAGATTTCATTGGTTTCTAAGGGGAATGGGAATTTTGCTTGGTGACAACTGAAGTTGTACATTGTTGATTATATTAATATTATATCTGCAAAAAATTAACATTTAATAAATGAGATTCAAGTGTGATTATACTCAAGCATTCCATGCATGGTACAGTCCTCATGGACGATATTTCAGACCTTCAGTGAGTTTGCAAATGAGATTAGACACACATGCAAGATATGGTTCCAGACATATCAAACTGTTCTATTGTACTGCATTTTTTAAAGCATTTGTAAAGACACTCCACACGGTAAGCAAGTAAAAGGCAAAGACAAGTTTATTGAGCAAAAAAGGACTTACATACACAAACTACAAAACTAATAAAATTACAGTTTAAAAATATACAGTTCATAAAAAACTACAAAATTGGGCAGGGGGCCCACTTCTACCCACCAAGGCAGCACGTGCCCCCCTGAGCAAAGGATTTCGGGATCCAAAAGAAGGAGGGGAAAACCTGTATGAGGCCGCCCGACCTTGAAATGGGGGTCAGGATGAAATCCAATGCCCGGGCTGGTGGGAAGAAGCTAGCCAAAAAAGAGGGGGATGAAGGGGATGGTGGTGGGATAACGAGCGAAGAGAATACAATGCTTGAGCAGTGACGCGTAAAAAACAATGAATGAAAACTGCTGAACAAAAGAAAACAAAAGAGGTAGGAACGCTACAGTCCATGTACACAAGCTGGCTATGATTGGCTGGTGAAAAGAAGCTGATTGGTTGACAAAGATGTGAGCTGATTGGTCGAAATAAACAGGCTGTGATTGGCTGAGAGCGGAGCAACCAGAATCCTAAAATTGTACCAAGCTCAAGGGTTCCATGTTTTTACAAACTCACACTTGTGCAGGCACAAGTGAACAATAATAGTGCCAGCAGGGATCTTTGATTGGATGACAAACTGACTACATGTGGATATGTATGCCATGACATACTATTGGAAATGATGAAGCATTCTGCCAGGCACGTCTGACAAATGTACAAAACCGAATTTTTCAAAAACATAAAAAGGAAATACACCACCGATTTGCCATTTTGGATTGAAACATGAAAAAAATAACCATCACACCAAATCTAAACTGTCACTCTACAAACTTTTAACCAAAAACAACAGAACTTACCCCAGTATGTTCGACCAGCGTACCAAATTTGAACAAGCAGCCTCTCAGCTGAGATAGCTCTGCTGTTAGCAAGGCACATTTCAATTAGAGAATTGAAGATATCATTAGAAAATAAGCGAATCTCAGAAAGGTCTACCTGCGGTACCTATATGTATAGTATCAAAACAATCAGTTTTTAACAAGAAGTCAAAAATATCATATTTTACCAAAAATATTCATCAAAATTAGAGAATTGAATATATTCATCACAAAATGAACAAATCTGCGAAAGGTCCACCTGTAGTGCCTATATGTATAATTATCAAAGCAATCTGCCTTGCAGTTTCCAACAAGAAGTCGGGATTATCACTTTTTACCAAAAATGACAAAAAACAATCATCTAAACTAGAGATTGGAAGATATCATCATAAAATGAACAATTTTGAAAGAGGTCCACATGTAGACCTATATGTATAATATAAACAAAAATTACAAAAATAGTCACCAAAACTAGAGAATTAAATTAAAGATTTCATCATCAAATGAGGTTCACCTAATATACATATACACCAAGTAGCAAAGAAAGGCTTGTAGTTTTTAAGAAGTCAAAAAAGTAAAAAGACGACAACGATGGACAATCACTCATATGATAAGCTCTGCTCGCCAAGTCTACAGTGGAGCTAAAAAGAGAATTGGACAATGCATATCCGTAAAAACTTTTGAAGCAATGAAATTGTGATTTTTCAATATTTTTGATAACTAAACCATGAAACAAAATGACCAACAGTCATCCATTTTGAATCAAATGCCAAAAAATAGGATTATACATCAGACACCCATTATGCAAAACCATCACTGTACCAAGTCAGCATAAGCATGTTTGTAAAAAGGCAGAAATTGTTAAGTCAAAATAGCTTGTCACCTAACAAGCTGCTCTCTGATTGGTCGAGTACCAGTAGCTAAATGCATTAACTCAATTCTAGGGTATTTTTAAATCACAAAATGGCCGACAGTCAAAAGAATACCAAGTATAAATAGCCAATATTATTTATTTGGCTTAATATTAGACTTCAAATTTCAATTCTTATGAATACATTCCTTAGGAACATTATATAATGTAGTGTCCTTACCAGTAGGAGCAACTTTCTTTAAATAAAGTCCCCATCCAAGTGTCAATGGTTTCTTCTTTGTGACTAGTTGTGTTATTTGTCTAACAATGACAGCTATTATAAATTTCAACACCAAGTGGTAAATAGTTACAGTAAGTGGATAGTGAAAAGTCTGAAAAAAATAGATATATATCATATTATATATAATTTGGCTTTATAATAAAAAAAGATAAAATTGTTCAGAGCAGCTAATATTATAACACACGAGTCTCGACATGATTCTACATTCTACTATAATAATAATTTCACTTCTTATATGAAGTCGTCTGTCAACCAAATTTACTTGAGGCAGTTACTGTTCATCCTAGATGTACATAGTAAAAACAGTACTTCGTTAGATCCTATTCCCAAAGATACTCGCTGAGGGAATGTATCGCTTACTAAGAATGGATATTGTATGTTTGACTATTTATTTCTGTTTATCTACACATACACGATTCGTATTTAACAACAATCCTCTGTCTCTATGACAACAGATGAAGAAGACTCACCCCTAACAGCCATTTGTTGTAAAACGTCAGACTAATTGAGAAACAGTAGTAAAACAGCACCAATGCTAATGTCTTCACGGCGAGGACAAAAAAATCAAAATAAGGAGATCTTTTTATTGTTTGGGGGGCAACTTCCCTGATGTGTGCCTCAAATATTCTCTGGCTTCTTCCCGGGACATTCATGGTAAATCCAAATTCGCTGTGATATTAGTATAAATAAAAGGATTGTTCATGATGATAGACAACGTCAATGTCTTATCCCAGCTCCAATCTGTTTATATATTACTGTTGTAGTTACTATACTGATGATATTGTATAGTAGTCACATAAACAATACAATTAGTTCAGTAACTAACAATCCCATTCGCCGGCAAATTTTCCACATCCTCAGAACTTGAGTAAGTTGGTGAGCATAGATGTTATTATTGTTGGAGTACTGTTATGCAGTTTTAACTCAGTGAACTAAAACAAAACTATTAACATCGCTAAAACCCATTTGAGAAGTTGCACCAACGATCATTACCAGTGCCAGTAAGGCGATTAATCGAACGATACACAGATACCGGCGACGGCCATATGCCACGACACATGCTAATCCGGAAGCGATCTAACACATATATGGATACCGGAAGTAGATGTTAGCTTGTTGTCACTTACCTCCAGTTAACAAACAACACTTTCCGCCATTTTTTGAATAAACACGCAGTGTATCGGGCGACAGCTCTTGGTTTTGAGAAGTTAGACCATAATATATTATCAGTTCCTTTGCTAGAAGAATATAGATATCCTCCAAGATGACACTACCACCAGAGAAGATAACAGAGTTGAAACAGATCATTCATTCTCAACTGTCACAGGTAATTTCTTTTCCAAAAAAAAAAAAAAAAAAAAAGAGTTCATTCTGATGGCGATTGACAAGTACGGACTTGCCTTTCAGCAAGAAGTGTAGTTCTGCATTTTTATAATTATTTTGTAGTTCAGTTCAGTTCTCTGTTTATACGTTAACTGTGTATTGAATTACAGATCATGTGTGTTTCTTGCACCGGAAAAAAAGTTTCCCTTCGTGAATTTGTGTGATTTGCAAATGCGTGCTAAACCCGGAAGTCATTGTGAACATCGGACAACGTAAAACAAGTTCGTGCCAGCATTTTGTTCCAGTGTACTTTCGTTACATTAAATTTCTAATTTCACGCTTCATACTTTCTAACTGTGACACATAATCCTACATGCAGCCACATTATTAATTGAAAATTGCTTCAAACTGACTGAATATCTAAAAATGTACTTTGATGGCTGCTGTTTTATAGTTGCATCATCAAAATGGTATCTTAATTTTCCTAAAGTTTTCCTAAATAATTCTCGCCTTGAATGACGAGGAGAGTGAGCACAAATGCTCAATTTGATTTGAATATATTGAACTGTTGAACGGAAACTCA